ATTGATGCTCTCAGCCTTTTGCTTAAGTCCGCTCTACAAATTCCAGACCTAATCAACACATTCGGAGCTATTCAAATAAGCAGAGTTTGTCGAGTGATTAGTGCTCTTTATTTCCAGGATCCCATTTCGGTGGGGTCGCAGGTTCAATTTTTCCCTGTGACATGATTCTTGCCTGTCAACTCCAGCATCAAGTGGTGAGAACACCTACCAGTTTCAATTTTCAGTAAAGAGTGTAAAATAGTAGCCGGAGGCCGAAGGCAGCTTTCGCACATTCAAGGCTTCGACTAGCTATCTCGATGTCGAAACGCCCATGGGATGGCATCGAGAGTTGGCGCGTTTTGAGAAGAATGGATATGGCCTGGGTACAGGAAACGAAGTGGAAGGGTGGAAAATCAAAAAATGTTGGAAATAGTCATAAGCTCTTCTACAGAGTAGGTAATGCCGTTTCAGAAAGCCTAAAAAGCAGGATTGCCGCGGTTGACTGGTTAAGTGATCGACTTATAAGTTTAACAGTAGAATAAAATCATATGACATGGGGATGAACGAGGTCTCGCAGAACAACAAAGGAGCTTTAAACCAAATATAACATATGGATTGACAATGGGAGAAAAACTTATCGAATTGTCACTGCTAATGCTCCGCAACTCCGCAAGCGGGTGCAAAGAGTAAGAAAAGAATATATATTAGCAGCGGCTTGACAATTGCATCATATCCATACCACAGGGTGCTTGGAACAGACCTCAACGGTCATGTAAGGCAGAAGGAAAGAAGTAGTGCAGAAAAGTGTTAAGGACCACGAATAGGACATGTAACAAAGAATGCAGACGTACTTGAGTTTGCCACAGCCTAAAAGTAGAATAAAATCATATGACATAGGGATGAACGAGGTCTCGCAGAGCAACAAAGGAGCTTTTAAACCTAATATAACATCTGAATAGAACATATAAAAGTGCCTAGAAACAACTATTAGAAGGAAAATCACTAAAGTGTGACAGTTTTTTAGGTCAAAAAATTGTTTTTATACATATGCATGAATTAGGTAAAAAGTGGAAATAACTGTAAGAAGATCGCAAACATTTATTTAAAAACCTGATCAATAAGAATCCATAAGATCGGGAATAAATATGATGCTAATGGCAAAAGTATGCAATTTTTAAGAGTGTAGAGATTAAACTACAAGAAATAAATTTGAAAACTACTACAAGTTTGATTATGATGAAGAATGTCATTGTATTCAAAAAGGAAATGTGCACATTGGTACTTACTTATTAAGTGATGAATGAAAAAGCAATTACGAACATAAACACTAGTCCATCCCTTCCGGGTCAGTAATGACTACGGTCCCGAATGGGATTGTCAGGGATACGCAAGGAAGAGGTTGCAAACAGAGGAGTAAAAGCGAAAGTTTACAATTTCTTAGGGGACATCTTTCTCTAGAAAAAAAATGGGGTTTTATCAAACGCCTGATGTTCTGTGATCCTTGAATTGAAACATTGCCGAAGAATTAAAAAAACAGTCCGGTATAAATGAAAAAGAACCCAAACCAAGATATCCATTCAATAATTACAAAAATAAAATTATGACGGTTTGACATCTAGAAAATAGGGCAAACTATGATTGGGATTAGCGGAAGTATCGACATGAATTCTATAAGAATAGCTAAGATTTCACATTAATCATAGTTACTACGACCACATCCGTCTTTGTCTTCAGCGAATTCAGCGCATGCTCTTCAGACCTATTCGTTAAACCCGCACCAGAGATCATCGCCAACATGCTACACACTTTGAAGATGCTGTAATCGCTTGTACGTGATGATTAACTATACGTTCTTATGCTCAAGGTTATAGCGGACGTAAAATCGAGGACAAAAGATGAGACGATATCGTTACGACAGCAATGACGCAGACAGTTCTGTAGCATTGGTTCAGCCTATAAAAGATCGTTGCGATAATCAGTTGATGTCGAATCTTCTCAGGTTTAACAACATGAACAGAATTCTTATCGCTTTGGTGAGTTTAGCTTCTATTTATATTTGAGGTGATTTGTTCTCTAACAAGCACGATTTACTTAAGATATGATTGCGCAATTAATATTGAAAAATTAAGGTTATTGGTATTATATTTTCAGGTTCTCTGCTTGGCAGTA